CTCTCTCTCGCTTTCTCTCTTCCTCGGCCTGTCCCATAGAGAATAAGCCTGACTCGTCCCTATCCACACTTGCCAATTAGAGACACAGTAGTTGTCAATCAGCAGCCGAAGAGAAGGGGAGTCATTGCGAAAAGGGGTGGAGCGGGGGGTCGGTGGAGAGAGGAGGGGATTTGTATCAGCACCTCAGACAGCTCCCCCCTGGATAACTCAGGCTAACTTGCAAGCATGACTTGACTGTCTCTCTCCCCTTCTCTTTTTTCCTCTTGTTCTCACTTTTCCCCTTAACCTTTCCTCTGTAATCACTGTGATCCCACTGTCGTTTTTCCCACTCTCGGCTGCGCTCAGCCTCTTAGCCCTCGCTTTTCCTGCTTTCTCGTCCTCACATCAGCTTGTTTCTCCATTCAGACACATACATAAACCATACATCATTCTCTGTATCCATTCACCTATCAAAGTTGCACACCACGAAACCTGACACTCCCGGAAAGTTCCCATTTGCAACTGGCAGTCCTTTCACATCACTCACACCTGTGGTAGTCTATTTCCTAACCTGCTGTCATTGTGAGGGTACTAGCTGGGCCCATCACATCGAGAAGATCTTGACACTTGTCTCCCTCATTACCTATACTCCTCTAGTCCTCTCTCCTCATCTCTCTCGCCTCTCCTCTTGCTTCTTCCTCCTTTCCAACTGTCCATGTCCGGGCTGCTGCTGATGACAACTCAAGTGGACGTGTCTTCTGTTCTCACCAAGAGCTGTGAAGAGATGTACGTAGGTGTCAGGGATCTGGTGTAAAAATACACCCTGCTGCTGCCCTCTTCACTACACAGGACCAGACTGTGTCTGCTTTGTGTCACAGGAATGTCTCCATCTAATTTGAAGACATGCTTCTTCAGTGTGGTTTTATGTGAGGGCTAGGCTATGATACCATGACACTCAGATATGTCACATATGGGTGTGCCTGCAGCTTCAGTATGAACCAGCAGGCCTTCTTTGTCACCACACTTTTTTTTTTTTGTCTATTTTTGTAAACTGACCCTGCATCCCCAACTTTAGACATCTGGTTTGCATTTATAAGAAAATCCATTTCTCGAATTGACTTGATGGAAAGTGAACTGGCTCCAGCTGGAGGGCCTAATGAAAGAAAATCGGTCTGTGTTTCATATTTGTGTCTGGCGCAACAGACTTATTAATCCTTTTAATGTACCTGGTATTTCAGATAGGATGCAGAATCACAAGTGGTTGTGCCAGAGGCAAAGACAAGACAGGCATGAGATTGAGACAGAGACTGAGCGGACGCTGGGCTGCTGCTTGCACATTATTGCTTAATTGTTTGGAACTAAAGGCGCTGTTATGAGGATGTTTATGCTTATGCCTGCGACAGCAAATCTTTCCAGTCATTTTAGCTACACTGTGGAGTCTAATAGTCACTACCCAAAAGAAAAAATAAACGATCCAGCAATGTGTATCGCAACAAATTCAGCCTAGATTGCAGAATAAGGAACTACACTCTGCCTTTGGCCAAACTTTCAGTGACAAACTTAACACAGACACTTTGCTTTTCCATCTTCATGGGCCTTAGTGCATTGGCTCCTGTTGGCCTACTAGCCCAGATAACTAGACAACCACACATCACTGTAAAATTGCAGATAGCCAGCACCTGTCCTCTACGTGACAGGCTTGGATATGAAGCTTTCTTTGTTTGTAAATACATCCGCTTCCACTGACAAGAGGAAGAAGCCAGTTCAGAGTGACAAGCGTAGATTGAATCTTTAACCCTTTGCAGGGGTGGGTGTAAGAGATTTTAACCATCTTTGTCTTTTATCCAACAGGCTACAAAGGAGGAAGACACTGACACGCTGTTGGTTAAATATTAAGCTGCATACAGGTGCAATTCTCATCAAGTAATGTGATAGGCACTTGGAGAGTGATGCTGATGGGACCAACCTGTTTAGTTATCAAATCATAAAGCGTAGCAACGAGAAAATTGATCGGGCGTTAATCCGGTGCCACGCACTGCTACAAATCGGCTCCTAAAGCTTTCAATCTACAAGTCTTATTCTCTCCACTTCGGGGATTATCAACAGATATCTGTGAATATCAGGAGAGTCTAAAGTGATGGGACCCGGAGCAACGCCGCGCTATGAACTGTGGCCAAATCGTTTTTCATGGGAAAAACGAAACAGCGGAAAAAAATATTGAACTTACCGCTTTGTCCACCTTTTTGCCAGCTCCCCCGAAGAAGCCGCTTCACATGCCATGCATTGTATC